CGCTCCTTCTCGTGCTCTCTCTCTCAAATAAATAACTTTTTAAAACAACAAAGATATATGAATGGCCAACAAGCACGTGGCAAAGTGCTTAACACAGTTAATCATCAGGGAAATACAAATTAAAACCACAATGTAAAATCACAAATAGCCATCAGAGTGGCTAAAATTTAAAAAGTGGGTAACACCAAATGTTGACAAAGATAGAACTCTCATTCATTGCTGGCTGACATGTACAATGATACAATCCCTTTAAATAAAGATTTTGGAATTTCTTATGAAGTTATACATAGGCCTACCTTTTGACCTGACAAATCCCTCCTAAGTAGTTATTCAAGGGAAATGAAAACATATGTTCACAAAGACTTGTACAGGAATGTTCATCATAGGAACTTTAATCACAATAGCAATAAAAAAATAAAAACCGGGAACATCCCAAATGTCCATCAACAGAAGACTAATAAACAAACTGCAGTGTGTTTGCACTGATATAGAATATATCATTCAGCAATAAAGAACAAGCTATTGATATACCCAACAACATGAATGGATCTCACAGATATAATATTGAGCTAAAGAAGCCAAACACAAAAGAATATATACTATATCATTGTATTTATACAAAATTCGAGAATAGGCAAAATAGTCCAAAGAAAAAAGAAAAAAAAAGTCAGGATAATGGATTTCTTGAAGAGGGATATGAGAGACAGGGGGAAATTGCCTGGGAAAGGACAAGAGGGAACTTTCTGGAGAGGTCAGAAATTTCTATACAATGATAGAGATATAGGTTACATGGGTATATTTATTTGTCAGAATAATACAGTTAAGATTCAAGCATTTTCGGGTGCCTAGCTGGCTCAGTCAGAAGAGCATGTAACTCTGGATCTCGTGGTTGTGAGTTCGAGCCCCATAATGGATGTAGAGATTTACTTAAACTTTTTAAAAAAGGCTGGGGTGGGGGGTGCCTGGGTGTTTGTTTGTTTGTTTGTTTTTAAGATTTTATTTATTTATTCATGAGAGAGAGAGGCAGAGACATGGGCAGAGGGAGAAGCAGGCTCCATGCAGGGAGCCCAATGTGGGACTTGATCCCGGGACTACAGGATCACTCCCTGAGCAGATGCTCAACTGCTAAGCCACCAGGCGTCCCAAGTGCTTTTTAAAAATCTTTAGGGCAGCCCGGGTGGCTCAGCGGTTTAGCGCCGCCTTGGGTCCAGGGCCTGATTCTGGAGACCTGGGATCGAGTCCCGGGTCGGGCTCCCTGCACGGAGCCTGCTTCTCCCTCTGCCTGTGTCTGTGCCTTCTCTCTCTCATGAATAAATAAATTAAATCTTTAAAAAATAGGGACGCCTGGGTGCCTCAGCGCTTGAGCGTCTGCCTTTGGCTCAGGGTGTGATCCCAGGGTCTAGGGATCGAATCCCACATCGGGCTCCCCGCAGGGAGCCTGCTTCTCTCTCTGCCTCTCTCTGTGTCTCTCATGAATAAATAAAATCTTTAAGGGCAACCCCGGTGGCGCAGCGGTTTAGCGCAGCCTGCAGCCCAGGGCGTGATCCTAGAGACCCTGGATCGAGTCCCGTGTTGGGCTCTCTGCGTGGAGCCTGTGTCTCTGCCGCTCTTTGTCTCTATGAATAAATAAATAAAATCTTTAAAATAAATTTTAAAAAATCTTTTAAAATAAAAAAAATCTTTAAAAAAAGAAAAAAATGTTCAAGAAGAAAAAGAATAGGTGATAGAATGAAATAAATGACCCAATCACATTTAAATAAAGTTTAAATGCATACATTTTTTAAAAGATTCCCTACTTTGCCAGGAAACATTCTTTTTGTTTTTTCTTTTCTCTTTTTTTTAAGACTTTATTTATTGGGGGGGATCCCTGGGTGGCTCAGCGGTTTAGCGCCTGCCTTTGGCCCAGGGCATGATCCTGGAGTCCCAGGATCTAGTCCCGCATCAGACTCCCTGTATGGAGCCTGCTTCTCCCTCTGCCTGTGTCTCTGTCTCTCTCTCTCTCTGTGTGTGTGTGTTTTTCATGAATAAATAAATAAACTCTTTTAAAAAATAAGACTTTATTTATTGGGGATGCATTATTCATGAGAGACACATAGAGAGAGGGAGAGACATAGGCAGAGAGAGAAGCAAGCTCCCAGCAGGAAGCCTGATACGGGACTCAATCCCAGGACCTGGAGATCATGACCTGAGACAAAGTCAGATGCTTAATCAACTGAGTCACTCAGGCACCCAAATTCCATTTTAATTTATTTATTTATTTATTTATTTATTTATTTATTTATTTATTTATGATAGTCACACACACAGAGAGAGAGAGAGGCGCAGAGACATAGGCAGAGGGAGAAGCAGGCTCCACGAACCGGGAGCCCGATGTGGGATTCAATTCCGGGTCTCCAGGATCGCGCCCTGGGCCAAAGGCAGGCGCCAAACCGCTGCGCCACCCAGGGATCCCTCCATTTTTTTTTTAGATGGGGAAACTGAGGGAGCTAAGAGTGGCTAGATGCAAGTCATGGAAGAGACTCCAGGATCCAAACAGAGGCAGCCAGATCCCAATAGATACTCTCTTTTTTTTTATTGCAGGAGAAAAAAAAAAAAAACCCTACACACACACGACATAAAATTTACTACAATAACCATTTTTAAATATACAGTAAGTAGCATTAACAATATGCACAATGTTATGCAACAGACCTCTGGAATCTTTTTAATTTGTAAGATTGAAGCTCTATCACTATGAAATAACTCTGTAAGCCCTGGCAACTGCCATTCTACTTTCTTAGGAGTTTCTACCCTCAAAAGCTCACATAAGTGGAATCACGCAGTCTTCCACTTTTCGTGACTGGCTTATTTTTGGAGACATGTCTATTTAATTCCTTTGCTCATTTTTTAAAAAGATTTATTTATTTATTTATTTTAGGGAGAATAGAGAGTGGGCGTGGGGGCAGAGGGAGAGAATCTTCCAAGAAGACTCCTCGCTGAGTAGGAAGCCTGACATGGGGCTTGATTCCATGACCCCTGAGATCACCACTAAGAGTCAGAAGCTTAACTGGCTGAGTCACCCAAGTGCCCCTCATTTTTTTTTTAAAGATTGATTGATTGACTGATTGATTCCAGAAAAGGGTAGGGGGAAGGGCAGAGAGAGAGAGAGAGAGAGGGATAGAAAATCTCAAGCAGACTTCGCACTGAGTGTGGAGCCGAATGGAGGAGCTTGACCCCACAACCCCAAGATCACAGCCTGAGCTGAAACCAAGAACCAAGAACTCAACCAACTGGGCCACCCATAAATATTTTGGCCATTTCAAAATCAGATTATCTTTGTGGTTTTTTTTTCAGATTATCTTTGTTATGAGTTGTAACGGTCCTTTATATTTTCTGGATATGAACCCCTTATCAGATACACCGTTTGAAAATATTTCCTGCCATTTCATAGGTTGCCTTTTAACTCTGTTGATTGTTCAAGTTTGATATAGTCCCATTTTATCTATTTTTGCTTTTTGTTTGTTTATTTATTTACTTAAGTAATCTCTACCTGCATCATGGGGCTTGAACTCATGGCCCCAAGATCAAGAGCCACACACTCTTCTGATTGAGCCAGCCAGGCAGCCCTGCTTTTGTTGCCTGTACTTTTGTGTCATGTCTGTGACATACAATGTCATGAAGCTCCAAAGCCTACCTTCTTAAAGGTGTTTCTCGAACTGTGGTTGCAAATGTATTAACCAGTCATGAAATTAATTTAGTGGGTTGTAACTGTTTTTTTTTTAAGAATAGAACAGAATAGAATAAACATGAAAAGAGTCACCATGGGTGGTATTGCTAATCATTGTTCTAAAAATTTTTTTCCAGTGTGTGTATACGGATGGATGAAATAAAACAGATTTCTACTGTGGGATATGGTTAGAAACTTGAAACACACTGCACTCCTCTATATTGTACTTGGACCCAGCAAAGGCCCAACAATGCTGAAGAGTTTCTAGTTCTTACAATACAGTCATCATATAGCTTTTGGTGGGATGACTACAGTAAACACAGAGGGACCTATTCTAGAACCATCAGTACCACATTTATGTGGCAACATAGTTTCTGCAAAAAAAAAAAATCAACTGTCACATTCAATATAATATTTTTGATGTTTATTTTCATTGGTGATGTTTATTTCGATTTCATAGTTGTATGAGAGTTGTAAACATAAAGATTTTATAAATCTGGTTTTATGCTTTTATATATCTATAAAAATTATTTAGGTCTGCCATGGGGATCCGGAAGAGTTTTCTTTCCTTCAAAAGATGTCCATACACAAACGGAGTTTGAAAAACACTGTTTAAGTGATGTACCAACAGTGCCACAAGTGCTCAGAAGGTGATCTTATTTGGAAATAGAGTCTTTGTAGATATAATCAGTCAAATTAAAGTGAGGTCATACAGGATTAGGGTGGGCCCTAAATCCAATGCCTGGTGTCCTCACATGAAGGCCACATGAGGATATATAAAGGAGAAACTCAAGGAGGGAGTCTGTGTGACAAGACAACAGAGGTAGAGGTTGAAGTCATGCTGCCACAAGTCAAGGAACAGCAAGGATTGCTGGCAACCACCAGAATCTAGCCAGAAGCAAGGAAGGATCCTCCCTCTAGGGCCTTCAGATGCCCTGCCAACACTTTGTTTTCAGACTTCTAGCCTCCAGAACTGTGAAAGAATAAACTTGTGCTTTCAGCCCCCAAGTCTGTGGTGAGCTAGCTGCTCCAGTAGCCACAGGAAGCTAACACAGCAGGTGGAAATGGGACTAAAGACGGGGTGCAGAAGATGGCCATTCGAAGAGCCCTAAAAGTATGGGTGCATTCTCCTAGCTGGTATACTATTCCACAACTTGGGTTCCACAGGTGAGGAAATTGGGGCTCGAGCGGCTTACTTAAAGGGAGACAGCAAGTCAGGAGTGGAAAAGGGACCAGAAAGTAAGCCATTGGCCCCCGAGGTTAGCCCTGTGGGGAGGTAGACCGCTCTACTCACCACAGTGTGGGTGAGTATGTTCACTGCAGAGGCAGACTTGACCTCCTTGATCCTGGAGATGGGTTTGCTGAGCTCCAGCCCCGGGCCGCAGAGAAGGCTCGAGTGCCTCAGGTCGGGTACAGAGGTATACCGCCTTGCAGATACAGGCTCGCAGGGAGCAGGGCTGGCCTCCTTGGCGGGGGTTTCCTGCTCGAGGCTGCTGTCCGTCTCATTTTTCTTTGCATCTCTGACATTCAAGAGCAAGTCAGGGGTGCAGCACACTAGTGTCGATGGCTGGAGATACTGGGAAGGAGGAAACCAGAAAGCCCATGGGAACCCAGCTCTGTCCACTTCCAGTTTCACTTGCACCAAGGGTAGGTGCCAAGGAGAAGAAGAGGTTCTTATCCTGAGGTGTAGGGACTCCCCGAAGGCTCACAGATGGTTTCACGGGGTCCTTGAACCACTTAGAACTACAGTTTTAAAACTGTATCTTTGTATAGTTTATGGCAAGAGAGTCCATAGCTTTTATCAGTTTCTCAAAAGGCCTATGACCCTCACAAAGTTATAAAATACAAGAAGCCAAAAATATCCTGCTCTAACCCTGTCCCTTCCGGTGAGTGTTTGAGAAAAAGGTAATTGACCACAAAGCCATCTGGGTCTTTCCACTGAGCCCAAAGAGACGGGGAAGCGACAGGGGTCATCCAAAGATTTGGATTGTGGGACAACTGAATAGCTGGCCCACGGTACAGGGCCAGTCCCCACTTTGAACAGAGAGCAGGCTGGTGGGAGCCAGCTATGGTCAGTCACCCCAGGTGATGGTGAGGGTCCCAGCTCCCTGCAGCCCGTCTCTGCGGCCCCCTCTCTCAGCTGTGCCCCTGGCCTGCCAGAGGAGGGGAGCATCCCAACTCAAACTGGAGTGGACCCATGAGTACAAGCAGTCCCGGTGCCCACTCCCTACATGGGGATTGGCTTTTACTCCTACCGAGGGACACAAAGAGGGTGAGAGTTCTCTGAAGGGTGCCAGGCTCCTGGTGACCTCCAGGCTCCCCTCCTGTGGCCCAGCCCTCTGCACAGCCTTGTTCCTTCAGTGTGTCAGGGCTCTGAGCAGTGATCTCCTCGGCACCCCCCCACAGATCGGCCCCAGGCGGGGAAGGGTGCTGGCCACACATGCTCCCCTCCCAGCCAGGTTTACTTGTTTGGAGGTGAGGGTGGTGTCCTTGTATTTCTGCTGTGGTTTCTGTTCGCAGCTCTTCATGCTCTTGCCTCTCACTTGCTCGCCTGCCGACTCCCCCTGCATCTCCACCTTCTTCTCTTTCCCAATTTGGAAGGATTTTTTCTCCTGCTTTAGCCTCAGGTTCTGGATCAGTTGCCTGTCCAAGAGGAATGGGGAGTGTTATGGAAGTTAGGGGATGGGCTGCAAATGTGGGTGCTCTCTCCAAGGGGTGGGTGGATGATGCTTGGCAAAGAATGCAGTGTTCCACATGCCTTCCCTCAGTGTGTCCAGTCTGCACAAATGGTTGTGGGGCACAGAGCAGGAGGTGGGGGGGGGGAGTCATTTCTCTCATCATACCATTTCCAGTCTGAGGAATAGCATCCAAGGAGAGATGCAAAGTCAGCAGCACTACCCAGCTCCCCTACCTTCTCTCTCTCCTCACTTCCCAGCTGGCCAAATGCCACACATGGAAGGTGCTGGGAAGAGGATCTGGGTTGGTTGCCGGACCGAGAGTCCCCCACATTGGACCATTTTATACCTGGGCCTCTCTGGCCAATGATACAGTGTAAATAACACAGTCACATGGGTCAGGAGACAGGGATCATCACCTGCCATATGACCCTTTCTGTGCTCTGACTTCCCAGTCTATAACATGAGGTGATGGGTAGGGATTGGACTGGACAGGATGAGTCCCTTCCAGCTCCTAGATTTCATGCCTATGTGAATCCAGGAGGTAGCTCTCAGGGGCTGGGAATTCTGGAGAAGGGTGAGGGTACCTGTCTCAGGGGTCGAGTTTCTAAAAACAGCTACATATCAACACCCCCCCACCAAGGAATCTTATGATTCCTGATCCTCATGAGACTAAAGCAAATGTTCCCCTGGCAATTTCTAGGTTGGGGACTGAAGCTCATAAGACCCTCTTGACCATCCCAGGCTGGTCACCCAGAAGTCAAGCACCACCCAACGGACCCCAACACCCACCCACCTCACCCAGGGCTTTCCTACCGGGCATACACCTCCCGAGCCCTGGAGGTAACAGTATTCTGGAAGAGGGAGTTGTTATCCTGGAAAAACTTGTCATACTTCTCCGAATTCAGAGTAGGATAAATCAGACGGAACCCTCCACAGTTTTCCTTCTCGTACTTCTCCATTTTCTCCAACCGAATGGCCTGGAAGCCTTTGATTTCCTCTATCCTGTGGTGGAACAGAACACAGGGCTGCTGTAGATTTTTCTCAGGGCAAAGCTTGGAAGGGATGTGCCAAGCTGGATGCCATGTGGGGCCCAGCAGAGGCCTTGCACACAACAGTGGTCCACCTGTTTTTGCTAAATAAACTTGTGTTTCCCTAAAAGGAGAATCTAGCCCTCTCAGGGCAGCCAGCATCATGAGGCACTGCAAGCTGGTTAGAAACAGTCTTTCTGAAAGCTCACCAAATTCTCTCCTCATACAAAAATCCATTTCCCCTTGGCTCAGTTCTGTCGCCACCTCCCCATTCACAGCCCTTATAACCCTCCTCTGGAGAACAGCAGCTTGCATTTTGCTAAATTTGAGGGCTTCTTGGATGAGCTTTTATGAGCTATGTGATCTCATTCTCCCTCACAGCCCCTCGGGGAGGTGGAGGTCGCAGGGAGAAGGAATGATAAGCCCCTTTTATAGCAGGGAAACCAAGAGCACTGAGCTACCCAGGGCCAAGTCATGACAAAGAGAATGATCCAGGGCAGGGCCCAGCTCCTCCCTGATGTTGCCTCCTCCTTCAGAAAATTAGAGAGTGCTGGCAAAGTGGAAGGCATCCTGGAATCCCAAGGAACACTACTCACTGTGCTCTGGCACTAGGCCTGCCACCTCCCAGCAAGGGGATCTTGCACATGTGAGCTCCCCTTCCAGAAGCCTGGTCTCCTTAGCTCCAACAACAGGACCAATGCAACACCCCCACTACCTATCCACCACCCTCCTCATAAGGAAGACAGGGCACCTGCAAAAGTGCTCTGAGAAACAGAGTGCCATCTGAACATAGATGCTATTGCCCCCAGTTCTAGAAGCTGATAACCAAGAATCAGCAGGCTCTGCTCATGGGGACCTGGGGGCTGCTGTGGGACCTGACAAGCAACAAAGGCATCTCTTTGACCAGGTTCCGAGTCTTCAGACACTAGAATCACTCCACAGAATGGAGGCCTCTGTTTAAAGGCAAATGCTGCCATGCAGGAAGCAGGGGACATAGATCCTACCAACCCAGTAACATGAGGTAGGTCAGACAAATGTGTCTTTTTTTTTTTTTTAAGGGATTTTTTTTTTTATTCATGGCGTAGTTGTTGTTGTTGTTGTTTTTAAGATTTTATTTATTTATTCATGAGAGACACAGAGAGAGACACAGGCAGAGGGAGAAGCAGGCTCCATGCAGGAAGCCTGACGCAGGACTCGATCCCAGGACTCCAGGATCACGCCCTGGGCCAAAGGCAGGCGCTGAACCACTGGGCCACCCAGGGATCCCCGACAAATGTGTCTTTCTGTAAAAATAAAGCAATGGCTTTATTTTTTGATTGGTAATCCCTGAATCTTCATATTATATTAATAACTCATATCCATGATACATAGTTCCGTCTATAACTTAATCTCCTATTTTTAGGTACAAAAAAAAATGCTCACAGTAAAACTATCCAAACTGCCACATTCTGCAAATATAAACTAATTTTCAAATAGGATTATCATTTGTTAGAACTGACTCCCTGCCCTACCAACTCCAAGCAAGAGTCTTTTTAAAAATTTAATTGTTTTTTTTTTTATCGAAGTATAATAGACGTATAATGCTCTGTCAGTTTCTTGGGCATGCAACACGATTCACTATCCGTATGTATTGTGAAATGACCACCACAGCAAGTATATTTAACCTCTGTAACCATACATCATTAACAAATTTTTTTCTTCTGATGAGAACTCTTAAGATCGTAGCAACTTTCAAATATGCAATACAATCTTACCAACTATAGTCACCAACATTACCTCCCCATGAATTATTTATTTTGTAACTAGAAGTTTGTATCTTAACCTCCTTCACTCATTTTGCCCAGGCAATCCCCTTCACCATCTCTAACACACTATAGTGTCAGGCACTGTGACGAACCTTTAATTATACATTATTTCATTCAATTCCACCTTAGAGATTATTGGCTCCATTTGACAGAAAGAACACTGAAGCTCAGAGAAGTGTCATAAAGGCCATATAACTAGTAGGTTGTCGAGGACCAGGACAGGCCAGTCTTACTGGGAGCAGGGAAGTCATAGAGAATGGGGTCCCCTGGGTGCTGGGGCATCTCTGTACCTGATCTCCCGAGAACGACATTGCTGTAGGAATCGTCCCCGTTGTCTCTCTTCCTCCAAGACTTTCTTTTTGTCACAGCTTCCCAGGTTGATCAGAACCAAGGTGTCATAGAGCAGACTGTCTTTCACCTCTTTATCCAGCCAGGAGTCAGTGGAGAAGCTCGGAGAGTGGTTGACCTGTGTGCAGCAGGGGTGTCAGGGGGTTGGGCTGTTCAGAGCAGAAGCACGGAGCAAGGCCAAAACACCACCTCTCTGGAGCCACCTAAGGCCAGTGTGAGGCCCTGGCTACCAGAGGAGCAGGTGTGGGAGAGATGGGGAGAGGGAGTCTGCACCAGAGCCACAGTGAGGAGAGAAGGAAGCAGAATCTCCTCTACTTTAACCAGTTTGATTTCAATCTTTTCCTCTTGAGAGGCATCGGGGTGCCCTGTCTTTTGTCTCCCCTCCACCTGGTGGGTGTGCTTGGGTGTGCTTTCTTACATACACAGCACGCCATAGAGCAGATGGAAGGGGGCAATCCAAAGGGTCAGGCTGGGACATGGGAAAGAAACCAGAGTGATGCATTCAGGACCCTCACCAGGACTGAGGGGGAGGCAGGTGGGAGGAGGGAGAGGACTCAGTCCTGCTCACAGTAAAGTCCGTATGCACTATGTAACATAAGAAGATTTCTAGCAGTTTCTGAAGGCCTGTGCCTGGTGGCCAATTCCGCTCTTTGTGTAAGAGCTCCAAACACCCGGGGCACCTGGGTGGCTCAGTGGTTGAGCATCTGCCTTTAGTTCAGGTCGTGATCCTGGGGTTCCGGGATCACGGAACCCGGGCTTCCTGTGAGGAGCCTGCTTCTCCCTCTGCCTGTGCCTCTGCCTCTCTCTGTATCTCTCATGAATAAGTAAATAAATTTTTTTTTTAAATTTGTAAAAAGAGCTCCAAACACCCATATTCTCCTTCCCACCTATACCTGGGAACAGGGGCTGGGAATGGAGGAAAGGCAAGGCCCCAGGAATGGGACCCATAATTCTGGCTCTGCCTCCTGAAGGCTGACTCTGACCATGTACCAACTGGCCCTAGCACCTCTGACTTGGCACCTCGCTTCCCACACCCTCACCTCCTTAGAATGGATCCTGAAGGGCCCCTTGAGGGCTGCTGAGCACAAGTCTAATTGGGAAGAGAGAGAGACAGCCAGATGCTTTTCTTTCTCCTTCATCTACCCTGCCATGGGTCTGGGGGAGGCAGGAAACTCACTGCATGGCTCCTCATCTGTGCCCTGGGCCACAGACTCCAGGCCACTTTCCATTGGTGCTGGGCACTCAGTGGCCCAAGCCCCTGAGAGCCAAGCTTGGCAGCTCCTCTCTGATCTTAACATCAACTAGGCTTTGATGAAGAATACCCCCTCTCTGGGAGATGATTTTTGTTACAAAAAATAGAGCTGCCTTTAGAGTCTTTCCGTGCCTGAGATCCAAGTTTCCAGGTCTGGGTGGACCTCAAGGAGGCATAAAGAATTCTCTAATTCCCAGCCATCTACCCCCCTCTGGTGGCCACTTCTCAGCTAAGGGCGAAGCCTCGGGCAGCAAGCACAGGGCCTGGCCAGGAAGTTGATGAAAATGACCTGACTGAGCCAGGGATGAAAGGATGAGCCTGACCCTGGCTGACCCCAGTAACAGAGGCCGATTTTTACCCCTCGCCCTGACCCCTCTACCTCCAGCAGCCACGGCTTGAGTTTGTGGTCCAACAAGATGTCAAAGCCCAGGATTTCAAAACAGGCGCTGTTGAGTGTGTGGTTGGGGAAGCAGGTGTGGTAGTTATGCTTGATGATGGGGTGGGCGGAGATGATCGTCTTGATGATGACATCCTCAATATCTCTCCAGATCTGCTCTGTGTTGTAGCCATGGTTCTCCATGTACATGTTAAAGGTGGAGAGCTTCCTGGAAGGAAACTGCAGGCTATGAGGCAAAGCAGCCCACCTCTGGTCATCTAAGGCCATCTCATGCTGGGAACCAGAAGATTCTGGAGAAGTTAAGTCCCCAGAGGTAATGGGGACAGACAAACTGGAACCCAGGGAGACAACAGGGCTATGTCAGCTCAGGAAGGACCTGCAGGAACCACAGAGTCACAAGCCTCTACTGTCTGGAAGTGGGTGCTGTATAATGATGCATAAGACTTGGCTTTTGGTACTTTCACTGTGACCCAGAAAACACCCACTAGGCTGGGGCAGGGACTGGGTATTCTGGGTGGAAGGCTTAATGGGTGAATTAAAAGCAAAAACAAAGACAAAAACCCTACATCATGGTTTTGCTTTGATGGCAAATGGTTTCTAAGCCTTTGGTGTTCATTAGAAACACTTTTAAGAACACCTACACCTGAGTCCTACCCCAGCCATCTGACGGGATTCTGGGGACCCCCAAAGTCACAGAAACTTTGCTTTAGGACTTCCACAAAGAAAAGGCAGCCCCAGGGCATGTCAAAAGATGGGGTTAACAACTGTCCAGGTAAATCAAGATGGTCCTGATTTCAGATAAATAAGATGTTGTATAGGGGTGCCTGGGTGGCTCAGTGGTTGAGCATCTGCCTTTGGCTCAGGACATGATCCTGGGGTCCTGGGATCGAGTCTCACATCAGGCCCCCTGCTCAGCGGGGAGCCTGATTCTCCCTCTGCCTATGTCTCTGACCCTCTGTCTCTCATGAATAAATAAATAATTTTTTAAAAAAAAGATGTGGTATATATATAATGGAATATTACTCAGCCATCAAAAATGAAATCTTGCCATTTGCAGCAACGTGGATGGAACTAGAGGGTATTATGCTAAGCAAAATAAGTCAATCAGAGAAAGACGATTATCATATGATTTCACCCATATGTGGAATTCAAGAAACAAAACAGAAGAGCCTGGGGGCAGGAGGGAAAAATAAAATAAAATGAAATCAGGGACAGAGACAAACCATAGGAGACTCTTAACTATAGGAAACAAACTGAGGCAGTCGCTGGAGAGGAGGGAGCCGAGGGAGGGGGTAATTGTGTGATAGACATTAAGGAGGGTGCAGGATGTAATGGGCACTGGGTGGCTCATGAGGCAGTTCAAAGAGCTCACTGGACCCCAGCCAGCAGAGCCAAAAAGGATGAAGCAGGGGTGGCCAGCCAATGCACACTTGCTAAAGGACTGCTGTACACATGAAATGAGAGAACCCCAAGAAACTGCCCCCACTGTCATGGGGAGCCTAAGGACCATTTGGGGAGGGTTCAACACACATATGGAACAACCGAGGATGCATTTATATAAAGACAGATTAGTAAAGGCCACTCAATTCAGAGGCCTACTGCCTCTACCCGTCATTGTCAGGGGATAATATGTGGCACATAAATGAATTTTCCAGATCGCTTGAAGCCAATCCACTCAAGTGCAAAAAAAGATGTGTTTAATTTGCCTAATTGGGAAATAAATTTTCCCAAAATAGATTATATACTTCCTTGCCTTCTTATAATAGACACTGCAAATCATAACATAACCTCTTCTTGATGATTCAGGCACATCACAATGAATATATATTATTGTATAATTTCATAATGCCCAGTGGTTAGCCAATTCAATTTAACACACCAGTTATGTGCCAGGCGCCCTGAGAGATGAAGAGGACCTGGTCTCTGCCCCCGAGCCCTGCCAGATTTCCAGTCGTTCTGTCTTCCCTTCACTGTTCCTGCTAAGTTTACAGCTGGTGGGGGGTTTACCTGGGGTGCAGTTGGCCGAGCTGGGGATGAGGGAATTGGGGCAGGTGAGGTAGTCAGAATGAGAAGCAGATCGCCTCAGAAGAGGAAGAAGGGGAAGAACAGGAGAGGTAAAAGGAAAAGGGAGGAACAGGAGGAAAGAAGGACTCTGCCCAGCACATGGGAGGCGCCTAGAAGGCCAGGGTGCCACTCTAACCCTCAAGGAGGCTAAGCACAATTGAGAACATGTGACAGATGTGTGCACCAAGCCAAGAGCGGTCATGAGGTATGGCTGATGTTGACCAGAGGGTAGTGGGAGTCCAGAGATGGGAAGGTTGCTGTGGGTGGTTTGACTCGGATTCCACAGGCTCGTCCTCAGAGACAGATCTCATCTGATTAAGTGAGCAGAGACTCACAGAGAAGGCTGGCTTCATGGTGGCTATATGGCTGGACCAGGACCCAAAGCCAGATCAGGGGAGGCAACATGGAAGCCCAGTGAGCCAGAAGAACCTTCAAGGATGTTATCCCATGTTTTTGGTTGGTGCTGAGCAAAGATGGAGAAGTGGGAATGAACAAGGCCCATATATGGAATGTGAGCCACAGAGTGTCCCAACAGACACCACAGAGTGAACAGACGGTGTGGCCCAGTGGTTAAGGGTAGAGACTCAGGAGTTTTCCTTGCAGCTCTACCACCTGTTTCCTAATATGCAAAATCATGCTGATAATAATAATTCTTACCTTCAAGTGTTGTTGTGAGTGTTGTGAGTGGGCTGAGGTGTGTATGTTTCCTAGAGTAGTGCCTGCCAGACAGCAAGTCCCCAACAATGCTGACTACCAGTGTAGTAGTGTAACAATGGATGGTGGCGTCTGGTCAAATTACAGTAGATTGAGAAGAAGAGTTTGAACCTGAATCTCTAGGTACCTGGGAGCCCCATCGCTGTGGAAGTAATGAGTAGAGAAGTCCTCCCTTATGCACGGAGGACGCCTGGCCCCATGGATAGTGCCAAACTCTACATGCACTGTTTTTCTCCTATACATACACATCTATAATAAAGGCTAGTTTATAAATTAGGCCTAGAAAGATATCCATAATAGTAACGTCACATGCCTACATCATTCACCTCATTTATCTCATCAGGTAGGATCTTATCATTTCACATCATCATCATAAGGAAGGCCAGTACAGTAAAGGAAGGTATTTTGAGAGAGAGACACCACATTCACCTAACTGCAGGTAGCTGAAACCATGGATAAGCAGGGACCACTGGATACGGAATACAGAATAACAACAACATTCACCTGGAAGGGGGCTAGTGTTTTTGAAGCCCATTCGTACACGTCATCTCAATAGGCCCCTCATGGCAAATCTGAGGATGGCCAGCCAGAATTCACATTTTCCTGTCATTTTATTTTATTTTATTTTATTTTATTTTATTTTATTTTATTATTTTATTTTATTTTTTAAAGATTTATTTACTTATTTACGACAGACAGGGGGGGGGGCAGAGACACAGGCAGAGGGAGAAGCAGGCTCCATGCAGGGAGCCTGACACGGGACTCGATCCCAGGTCTCCAGGATCACACCCCCCCGCCAAAGGCGGCGCTAAACCGCTGAGCCACCAGGGCTGCCCTTTCCTGTCATTTTAGAGATGAGAAAATGGAGGTACCAAGAAGTCGAAGCCTGGATTTAGGGAGAAAAGCAAGGAGGCTGAGCAGACATCAGGTCTGAGGCTGAAGCAAGGCCTAGGTCTGGTGGAAAGAAGGGACATGGGGACATCTGCAGGAGGAACCTTCAAGATTCAACAACCAAGATGACACCAAACTCCCCCATCCTGCAGGCCAGGAGGCAGAGATGGGGAAGTTGAGCAAGGGGACCATTTTGGAACTCTGGGGTGGGAGCAAGGAGCAAGAAAAGGCTGAGTTGTAGGCAACAGATGTCAGGGTATAGTGAGGGATGAGCCTGGTGCTTAGGGAGAGGTGGAGGGTGGAGGCCAGGGGAGCAGAGCAGAAGGGTGAGGCCTGACCTGGGGGGAGAGGTAAGGAAAAAGAGCAGGAAGGGAGGGGGTGAAAGGCAGCAGAACAATTCTGTACACTCTTCTCCCTGAATCCTGGCACCCCCTAACACCCCATCCATCATGGCCTGAGGGCCCAAAGCCTGTTGATGGGGTGTCTTCTCCTAAGAAGAAAGAAATGGGGGTCCTTAGGTTACATGCCTTCCGACTAAGGAAAAAAATCACAGTAACCATAAGCAGTGTCCCTGCAGCCATCAGGGGCCATTTGAGTCTCACAGTGACCCTGGGAGGTGGGCAGGGCACACAGGACAGGGCAGGGCAAGACATATCACTGCCCTCATTGTACACACCAAGTGGAGGCTCAGAGAGCTGAAGAGACTTGCCTACACGTACTTAGCTGGCAAGAGTCGGAGCCGGGCCTGAAAGCTAGGCCTCACCGAGCACCGGCTCTCGGCCCGCAGCAGCGTGGGAGGCTGAGCTGGTGCCCATGGGCCTGATGAGGAGCTGAGAGCTTCGGGCGAGACGGGTGCCGGCACCCTCCGACGCAGGGGAGACTTCCCTTCAAGCAGGCATCAGCTAGTGATTTTCCATTTGCCTTTTGGCACTCTGCCATCAGGGGAGTTGGGTAATTTCACGTGCCTCTCTGATGCTTTGAAGCCAAACAGACTGTGTGTTTATCCATCCTTTGAAGCCTGCTGCAAGGGGACAGAGCATGCGCCTTGCAACCCGACAGACCTACTTTCTCATCCTGCTCTAACATTTACAGCTGTGTGACCTTGGGGAGCTTAGCCTCTCAGAGACTCAGTTTCCTTGTTTGTAAAGAAAATGAGATGGTACCTAACTCATTGTTCTGCACCCACAAAGGGCAGATGACAACACCCTTGTCATGGTGTGGTGAAGATGCAATGGGGAACAATGCACACGGACTCCCCTGCACAGGCCCCACCACACAGGAGGCCTCCATAAGTACTGCCTCCCCTTCCCCTTGTGCCTGGCTGTATTCACTTCTTTCAGCTCCCCCTTTTTCCTACAACTCAACCCCATCCATCTCAGATGAGACAGGATTAGGATTACACAATAACATGCATGTAATAACTGGGAAGACTCTCATGCATTCCTCCCATCTCCCCCCTCTCCTGGGGAATCTCAAAGCCAGCCAGCCACCGTCAGGCCACACCAGGCATCGTGACCTATCATTCAAGAATCTCTGTTGGAGAACACCCCGGAAGCCACAGGCCAACAACTGCCTGGCATGTCCACCTCCCTTGGCCGACTAGCAATCGATAAATATCCTTTGGTTTGGAAATGTCAGAAATGCCCAGGGTAACAAGCATATGTTTTGGGGTGTGTGTGTGTGTGTGTGTGTGTGTGTGTGTGTGTATCCTGCTGGGGAAACGTTCATGTTTATCTCTCCTCCTCCCAACCTCCTAGGGTTTACGATGTAGCCTTCTTTTAATGATTAACAGCCAGAGGGCAGAGACTAAGGAGGCAAAGAAATATTTGCTGAGACCATGTGACCCAAGATAGAAACACTGCTGGGGACTGACAGGGTTTGGGTAGAATCCTAGGCAGCAACTCTGAGCCTGGCAGGGCAAGAAAAGAGAAGTGAAGCAGCTTCCTTACCTCTTGCTTCCAGCGTGAGCGTCTCGAATGAAATTGGAACTGTGCTTATTAATGGAATAATTAGTCAGGTGCATGCAGATCTCATCCTGGGGAAAGAGACACAATTCTGTGAGGTCAGGAGGAAGGGCAGGCCATCCGCTTTTTCTCTGTGCCCTCTTGTGTAGCCCCCACAGCATGAAGAGAGGGGAAGTCTTGGGGCTTACTTCAATTGATGAAACAGAGGCAGTAAATTGGGAGCCTGCAGCCTGGGGTAGGAGAGAGTCCAGCTCCTCCTGAGATTGGGTGGTTCACTGCCTGAGGGAGATTTCAGAAGTCCTGGGGGATCAGAGGGTGCAGGGTACGGGTGGGGGAGAGACCCATGGCCTTCTCCCCTCAGATACCACAGATCTGGGGCACTAGCTTTGTGGTAGGGCAGATCTGGCCATGACGAGGCCCAGCCTCATCTCTTCCCAGTTCTGTGACCTTGGACAAATTCCTTTTACTGAGTTTTCATTTCCTCATTTGTGAAATGGAAATTATAATCCCTATTTCTGAGGGCTTCTAAGAGGGCTAAACGAAGGGACATCTGCAACCTGGCACATAGGAAGTGTTCAGCAAATGACAGTCATATCCGCAATGCCTTGAGAATGTGGAATGAACTGGGATTTTTCATCCCCCTAAGGAGGAGGGGGAAGGGCACATCCACTGAGCTCACCAGGTTGTCTGTGCTGGGGTGGGAGTAAGAGGTGGTGGCGAAGCGTGCTAGTCCTTCCTTGTATGCAAAAATCCTGAGAGGGTCACAGGATGTCATCAGAACATAAATCCGTAGGTCAAACTTGAACCCATCAATAATAAAGGGCTGCGAGGAGGGAAGAGAAGTCATGTAAGCTTCCGAGGAGAGATTCAGTCTTGAATATTAGTGCCTTGTCTTGGTCTTGGTACTACAGAGTACGGGCTGGGCTGGGGTAGGGGACGAGGACAAGGTGACTTGACCCGTGGGAGTCACTAAACTACACCGTGCCTCAGTTTCCTGCAGCACAAGTAACCTCCTCCCAAAGATCTCCTGGCAACCAAACAAAATAACATTAAAAAGTCCTGTGATAGGGCCCCTGGGTGGCTCAGTTGGTTAAGTGTCTGCCTTTGGCTCATGTCATGATCCTGGGGTCCTGGGATTGAGCCCCAAATCAGGGTCTCTGCTCAGCGAGAGCCTGCTTCTCTCTTTCCCTTTGCTGCTCCCCTTGCTTGTGTGCGTACTCTCTCTCTCTCAAATGAAGAAATATTTTTTAAAAAATTAAAAGTCCTGTGATGAAGGACATGTGTCACCATCGAGGGCTGTATTACATGGCAGCTCTGCAAAAGTGTTTCCTGCAATGCTGGCCAGTCCTTTCCAGTCCACACATACTTCTAGAGGGTTCCTCCCTGCGGTGAGCTATACCACTGTGACCTCTGACCTCCAGCCATGGAGGAAGGCTGGTTACCATGAACCCTCCAGGACTATTACCCTCTCCTAAATGAAATGGAGCATCCACAGACCAAATGTGCCCTCTAGCTGTCATCTGTTAGAGGTGATAGGCCAGCCTAAGACCAGACCAGCTACAAGGGTACAGGGTGAGGGATGCTCTGGCCCAGACACACGTCACAGCCCTGGTCGGAAGGCCTGGTCTGGGGACACCTGGGTGGCTCAATGGTTGAGCTTCTGCCTTCAGCTCAGGTCACAGTCCTGGGGTCCTGGGATCGAGTCCCACATCGGGCTCCCCACAGGGAGCCTGCTTCTCCCTCTGCCTATGTCTCTGCCTCTCTCTCTCTGTATCTCTCATGGATAAATAAATAAAATCTTTAGGGAAAAAAAAAAAAGAAGGCTTGGTCTGACAACTTTTAAGGCAGAAGACCGGACTCAGCTTTGACACACACACACCCCGACCCCCCCCCCACCCCGCCTCATTCCCTCACTTCCCTTGGTGCGGAGGAGCTAGAGCTGAGGTTGCTATGAGCGAGAAATAAATGACCACGATGAAGAAGTACCTTTGAAATATAGAGCTGACAGATCTTATCCTCGCCTGGCTTGATATCTTTCACTGTCCGGGTGATGAATATACCTCTCCCTTGGCAGCCCGAATCCGGCTTACAAATGTATGTCTTATTTTTTCTTGACCTGCTGTAGTTCTGCAAATCCCCCCAGCTACCAGAGCAGCAGGGAGGGAACGAGATACACCTTTAGTGGAGGGAGCAGTGAAAAGGAAGCCTAGCTCTTTATTTTAAAAAAAACCACCAAAAACTAAAAAAACCACTAAAGCTATCTCATGTGACAAAGCCCCAGAGTTGACAGACATGTCAACTGGCAAGAAGAGAAATAGCCATGCACATGGATACATGGTGGAGAGAGGGTGGGCTTTGGAGGGAACTCAGGCCTGGATTTAAACCCAGGCTACACCACTTACCAGCTGTGTGACCCTCTGCAAGGACTTAACCTATTTAAGCCTCAATTCCACTATTTACACAATGAGGATAATGACACCTGTTTTGTACAGTGGTTAATTATGTAAAAGACAGGCAAGGTGCTGATACATGTTGCATGGCCCATGAAGGTAGCTATGATCCAAGTACTTTGACTTTCTAGGTTTGCAGACAGGAGACATGGACTTCTGTGTGGGGCACAAGGCCTGACAAGTGTTGTGACCTTGGATCCACCAGTCTCTTCCTCTATTCCAGGCTGCAGCTCTTCCCCAGGAACACCCCCACTCCAGCCAGAGTATCAAAGCACAAATACTGTCCTCGAATATACTCTGTAGAAAGTATATTCAGAAGAAAGAAACCACTTTAATGCATTCTAGATCTCAGACTTGCTCCACTTCTTGTTTTGCATTTGAACTCATTTGCATCGTGATCACTGGAGAAGTCACTTCACTGCAATGTTCCTCAGTGGCCATGAAATCTGGAGGTGTCTGAAGGCAAGTATGTTTCCTTCTAAGTTGCTATTAAGTCCTAAAACTTTCCAGGCTCGGGAAGTCTGGGAATCCTGGAGCTCTTAGTTTTGAAAAGCAGTGAGTGCAGAGGACAGAGTGGGATTCTTGTCATGTCAATATAATTTCAATGGCAATGCTTCTCTGCACCCCCTCTCCTCATCCCAAAGACCAGACTGTACCCCGGTGACAATCATGTCATCTCGCATTTCTTCTGTTTCTTGGTGCTACGGTCCAGAGCATTTTGTATACTAAGAATGGACGCTCAGTTTCAAGATGGATAAAGCGAGACAGGAGACAGGGAAAGGCTGGCTGCCATCCATGCTTCTGCCATGGAACAGAGGTCAGGTGTCCCTCCCTACTCCTAATCTGGGCACTAACCATTATCTCACTCCCTCCAGAAGTGCTCACGGTCCTTAAAAATTCAGAAACTGCACAGTTAAGAAGCTGGAACAAGTTCAAAATCAACAGATTTCAGGGTCAGAACAAATTCTCATCCCAACTGCAGGCACGGGTTCCAAGGCACCCAGCCCCTAAATGTCATCTGATTCTTTTATAGCAGAGCCTTGTATTCTCTTAACCTTGGACACACCCTTTATCCCTCCTCTTCCTGAAAAGGAGAGAGAGAGATGGGAGATCCTCTGGGAAGGGAAGTAGCACTGGGGAATGAGGAGCAAGGGGGAAATGTAAATTGGGGGTGGGTGGCATAGAAGGGAACACAGGTAGGCACTCACTCAGCAGGAAGACACCAGGTCCTAGGGAAAAAGTGGAAATCCCTAGGGAACATCTTTAACATGCGGCTCATATTCCTGGCCAGCAAGTCCTTGCGGCAGATTTCACTCATCCCAGGGAAGTGATTGATTTTCTACAAAGGAAGGCAAAATTCATGAACAACAGGGGCCATGGGAGTACCCAGGAGATCCCCTCAGGGGACAGTCCAAAAAGTAGGGACCCACTGGGTAGATGTCACCCTTATACGGAGGACCAGCTCTGCCCAGATACCTGGTAACTTTTCATTTCCATCACCCTCTCCAGCGACACAGAGTAGTCCGTCCAGTAGAGAGTCCAGTCATTGGTTTCCCCTCCCTCTCGAAGGCCATATCTCTGGGCAGCCCTACGCACTGCCATGGTGTTGGAAAAAGAAAGGCCTGTTAGTCCAGGAAGTGGAGGAGGAGTGTGGGGTGGGGAGGTTATGTTTCTAGGTGCTCTCAGACCACATGCTGAAGAGAGACACCTCAGCTTATTGGGCCTGGAAGCCATCTTGCCCGGCCTGATCTCACCACTGCCAAGAAAGGAACATGAAGAGCTATTGAGGCATACAGCCAATACCCAGTGAACCCCACAGAAGGTTATCTGGGAAGAATGTTTTATCCGCGCTGCTTCCCCTTACCAGGAAGTAGAATTCTGGCTTTCCTCCAAATACTAAACACAGAATGTTCAGGGAAGATAAACCTAACCTTAACATCAGCCAGAGCCAAGCTTAATTAGAAGATAAATTGACAGAAAAAGAAAAAAGCATACAATGATTTTCAAAACCACATATATGCTATCACAGCCTTTTTCCCCTGTCCCTCTTAGCATTAGTAACTGGGAGCTGACTCCAACACAAACTCAAATGCCTTCAAGGACCTGGAAAATCAGAAGTGCCTTCAGTGACCCAGAGGAGTCAGGACTAGCCTAAAACATTCTAATTTGAAATCCATATAATGACAACATTGCTCTGTAGTACAATGTAGGTCTGTAGGTCATCTTCAGTCTGTGGACTGCTAATCTCTAACTTATGCTCTAGCAAGGAGCAACAACTGCCTTCTCTACAATCAGATTCCCAAAGAACCCTATATGAAAACTACAGAGAGCTGAAATATACACCAACTGTGGTCAAAACCCGTATTTTCTTGGAATGAGATTCCCAACTTCTTCAAATAGTTAATCCAGCTAGATGAAGGAAACAATGGGATGTGAAGACACCCACTTTTCATCCTCAAGATTATACAAGAGTGACCCTTCCCAACCCTTTGGGGTAATCCACTGGGTCCCCATCATGGATCCCTTGAATGCAAGTGCTCACCGCTCTCATATCGGCAGGTGGAGAGATCGATCACCAATCATCTGGAAAAGAGAAAAAGGAAAGCAAGACAGAGACAGACACACTTGCCAGAACAAGTGACCACACCCAGAAGCATCCAGTCCTGGGTGAGGCTGTATGAAACCCACTCTGCCACACTAATCCTGGTTTGATGAACCCCACTAACTGAAGACACAAATCCAAAGGGTTGCAGAGAGGCAGAAGGCAGACTCAACTGGTACCCTGTCCACAGGGTAGGAATTCTGTATTGGGGTCATAACTAATTCTGCTTCAGCTCCATATGAATATCATCACCTCTTCAATCCTTTTGCTTCAGCGGCCCATCAGGAACAGGAAGTGAAAATCTTTTGGGCCAGGGTGTGATCCTGGACCAGGGATCAAGTCCCGCATCAGGCTTCCTGCATGGAGCCTGCTTCTCTCTGCCTGTGTCTCTGCCTCTCTCTCTGTCTGTGTCTCTCATGAATAAATAAATAAAATCTTAAAAAAAAAAAGAAAAAGAAAATCTCTTGGGCCAAATTACTTCATGGTCTCCCTCCTCTTGCCCCCCACAAAAGGAAGTTGTGAGTTAGAAAGTGGACAAACTTTCAGACAGCAATGAGTCTGAGGAGTAACTCATTGTCCCCAAAAGGAACCAGGTTTGACAGAATAGTAAGTAGGAACTAAAAGGCAGAAGCCACAGGGAGATCCTAAGAAGTCAGCATCAGCTTCATTATCTTTAAAATGTACTAAGTTCCCAGGACAATAAGCACTTCCTTAAAACAAGGAAATTAAATTATCTTTCTCCACACAGTTAAAAAAAAGTGGGGGGGGGGGACCCTGGGTGGCTCAGTGGTTTAGCGCCTGTCTTTGGCCCAGGACATGATCCTGGAGTCCCGGGATCGAGTCCCGCACCGGGCTCCCTGCATGGAGCCTGCTTCTCCCTCTGCCTGTGTCTGTGCCTCTCTCTGTCTCTGTATCTTTCATGAATAAATAAATAAAATCTTTTTTTAAAAAAAGCATTCTAAACACATATGGAATGAAGATTAGTGGGACACCTGCGTGGTTCAGTGGTTGGGTGTCTGCCTTTGGCTCAGGTTGTGATCCCTGGGTCCTGGGATCGAGTCCTGCATCAGGTTCCCCACAGGGAGCCTGCTTCTCTCTCTGCCTGTGTCTCTGCCTCTCTCTGTGCATCTCACGAGTTAATAAATAAAATCTTAAAAAAAAAAAAAGGAATGAAGATTAGGACAGGGTGTGGTTGGAGATTACACACACCATTATCTGATTCTATAAAACTGATCGTCAGGTTGGTTCTTCCCATACACCTGAACGGGGGTGTGATTTTGAGCACACAGCATCTCTTTAACCTCTCATTAGTGGCCAAGGCCCCCTCCCTTCCAGGTCCCTTCTGCTCCCAACAATGTGGACTCCCATTCCCTATCTTTCAGTCCTAACCTCTTTTTCTTCCTCTTCTTCTTGCCTTGCTGCTGGGCATTCTGAAGCCCCTCGTGCACCCCAGTGTCCTCGCTCACGAAAGCCAGGGTGATGATTTCTTTCAGATCGTCTTGGGAACTGTCTTCTCGCACTTCTGAGTCGGCTCCTTCCTCACCTTCCGAAGACAGGCACTGAAGCATCTCCCCAGCCTGGGAGGAGGCTCTGGGGAAATCCCTGCCCACCCTGGGGAGAGAGCAGAGGGAGCAGCAGTGACTTGTATCGGCCTGCAGGGGGACCCCCTCCCTTGCTCATGTGGGTGGTAGACCCGCTCTGAGACCAGGCACGGATTGCAGTTTAGAAAATGCCACCCCACCTCCAAGGTTGGTGCAGGCTCAGGGAGAGAACTGATTCTACCTTTTGCCCTTGGAGACTCTGTCCTTAGGGACTCACTCAGCCAATCCAGGCTTTGGTTTTGCCCTCCTGGGATTTGCAGGAGCAGGCTGAGATGCTATGCATGGCACCACCTGGTAAACAATCTTAGTGAAATGAGTGAGTGTCTGGAGACAGCCTCAGAACCAAGCCCTAAGCCTTCCCAACAGAAGAAGTTAGTCCCAGTGGGTGCAGATGAGGGACTCTGAGGAGGTCTGTTAACTGTTTTGACACTACACTGAACCTCCCACCCCCAACCTGCTGCTGATGGTGAATGCAAAGGTAGCTCGTGGAGCATGGGGTCAATAGGTAGCTGACTTAACACAATTCAAGCCTAGGGCCATAGGAGACCTTCAGTGATCCCAACCACAGGAAAAGCTAGTGTCTCCCACACCATGCAATTCTACACAAAAACAACACCAAATGGTAAAACACCGATAACAAGGTCCAGCAAAGGTCTTGTCCCTCCCCTATTCCCATGATGATTTCTTTGTTGTTTGCTTGAAATTTCAAATATCAAATTCTTTTAATGGTTTTTAATGCCTCTGATTCAATAATCCTTAGGGAATATGCTTAGTGTGACTTTGGGTAACCTAGAACAGCCCAGATCCAATTAACTGATCCATCTCCTTCACATCCAGGGCTTCTGTGACCATAAAGTCAACTTTCTGGAGCTCCTCCTCCTCTGTACCTCCAAAACACTACCAACCTCTTCCTCCTCACTCTTGCCACCCCTGTCCTTTGATGCCCTTGCTACTTACTATCTGTTCTTCCCTCAACTCTTCGGTTTTTAAAAGATAGTAATATCTTCATTATAATTTATTATAATGCAATAATAAAACACTAAAGGGAGTTTATTTTTTTTTTTAAAGGGAGTTTAGAAAAGGATAAAGCGGGAAATCACTGTGGCTTTTCTACCCTAGTATAGCAACTTTGTCCCTTTTGCATATTCTCTTTAATTATTAATTTCTAAGCATAATTATTCGTCTATAATTGTAACCATAATATAGAAGCAATATTCTTTTACTCTTTTTTTTTTAGAAACAATTTTCTATCTGCTTATCTTCCCCGACTTCATATCATATCAGAAACATCCTGGGGCACCTGGGTGGCTCAGTGTTTGAGCGTCTGCTTTTGGCTCATGTCATGATCCCAGGGTCCAAGGGATCCTAGGGATCGAGGAGTCCTGCATGAGGCTCCCCACAAGGAGCCTGCTTTTCCTTCTGCCTATGTCTATGCTTCTCCGTGTGTGTGTGTCTCTCATCAATCAATAAAATCTTAAAAAAAAAAAAAAGAAACATCCTTTTGCTGGTAACAAAGCTTATATGTTTCCAGTGTTTAATGGCGGTGTAATAATGCTGCACAGAAGGAATGTGCCTGAATTTAACCATTTCCCTATTGTTGGCAATGTAAGTTTCTTCCAATTTTGCTATTATTACATTAATAGCTCTAAAATGTGCACTTCCATGTACAGAAGGCCTTTTACATCTTGAGGATTATTTTTCTTAAGATATATATATCCAGAACCAGGATTACTAGGTTAATATAAAAATTATATAGTTTTTGTTTTAGTTTATCTATCTATCTATCTATCTTGCCATGTTGTTTCCCAGAGGGACTCTAACAGTTTGGATTACTATCAGCAATACGTGGTAACAGCAGACCCACCAGACATCTCATGGGAATCACGTTTCCTCCATACCCAAACTTGCTAATTCTAGACAACTTTTTGTATCTTATGGGCCATGTTTTTAACATTACTGTATCCTTCCACATCTTTCTGCCTCTATCCCAAACCAAACTGGGGAGTGGAGAGCTCTAACTGGGAGCCTACCTATGAATAACTTCATAATAAGCCTTTAGAGGAGTGTACTTCTTTATGTCTTTCAAGGAGTCATCACATACACCATTGCACCAAATGCTCATAACCATTGCCAAGAGGAAGGGCAGCATTATTAAGTCAGCCAAAGATCACCACTGGTTTCTCTCTTTGCTGAAGAGGGCTGCTCCTTACAGTCAAGCCCCTTTATGGTGACACCTGAGCTGGGGGAGAAAAAGTCATACTCAGCACAACAGACCAAGGGCACCTGGGTCTTGGAAGTCTATTTTTCCC